ATGGGGGGAAAGGGACGCTGGCGCCTGGTAAAGTCCTCGGCTCTGACCATAATGGGAAGTTAGGGCAGATAAACTGTCATTTCCTTGAACTTCGGCTGCCTCTGCAATTGTCAAAATACTCTCCTTGGGCCCCCACCCTCTATTTTGGGGGCCCGTTTTTGTCCTTGAAGACACCAGTTCCTGCCCCTGCCCACAACCCTCCAAGGGCCGCCTGCTCCCCTGAGCATAAAATCCAGACCTCTCGCCAGCCTTCCGGGTCCTACAGCAGAGGGTCTCAGGGGGGGTCTCCCGGCTGCCTGATAGAGCCGTGTGGGGAGGTTTTGTACAGAACCCGAGGCCTATACAGCCTAATCAGAGGCTCTGGGGCAATGGTTCTTCGACTGGGGGTAACTTTGCCCCAGGGGACATCTGACACTATATGAAGACATTTTTGGTTCTCACAACTAGGGACTCAGTACTATAGGCATCTAGTGGGTAGGGAGCAGGATCCTGCTAACCATCCTACAATGCACAGGCCAGACCCTATAATGAATGATCTGGCCTCAAAGATAGTGTGGAGGCTGAGGGGCTGCTCTAGACATCGGTGCCCACTTCACCAGGCGTGAGCACCAGTGCCCCCCTCGCCCCCCGCAGTCTGGCTCCTGCTGGCTTCTTTCTCACCTCCCACCCTCTTGTCCTCGCTGACCACGTTTTGCCACCACAGTCTTCTCTCTGGTCCGAAGCACACCCTGCTCATTCTTACCCCTGGGCCTTTGCATCTGCTGCTCCCTCTGCTGGGCGTGCCCTGCACATGTCGGCAGAGCTGGCTCCTTGCACTCAGGTCTCCGCTGCCTGGATCTTCCCTCCCACAATGCACACCTAAAATAACTCCAGTCCCCAAGTCCCTCTGTAGCACTGCTCTGGTTCTGTTCCTTCAACACGCTGGGACCTACTCAAGTGATCTCATTACTACTCAGCACTAGTCTATCTCCCCCACTAGAATGACAGCACTCTGAGAACAGGGTCCATGTCTGTCTTGCTCACCACCCTCCCCTAACATCCAGCAAAGTGCCTGGTACTCAACTTCTTTACTAAATATCTGATGACTGACTGAATGAATGGACAAGCATTGGGGGAGAATGGGGTTTTCAAGCTGTTGGAGGATCAAGTGCATTGCTAGAGACCTGGGCTCCTGTCCCGGCCCCACTTTCTTCTCCTGGCATCAGTTTCCATATCTGTAATATGGCCCAGATGGGTTCAATGGAATTAGGCTCCTCCTAAAGGGGGAAGTGGGGGCCCTCTTGGAGACCTCAACTGTAGCATTTTGCTTTGGTCTTGTCTCCATGGCACACAGCTAAGGTAGGTTGGTCCATACTCCTGTTACCAGATAAATAACAAATTTCTTCCCACTGAGATCCTAATTATTTAGTCATTTTGTCTGGTCTTTTTTTTTTTTTTTTGAAAACTTTCCTGTTTCCGTTTCCCTCTGCACTAGCTGGACACATCTAGCATCAGCGCTGGGCACAAGTAGGTAGTCCCCGGTAATATTCCCCAGGCATGGTTCCCAAGTATTAACTGGATACAAATGGGCTGGTTAGAAAGTCTTAACCTACAAACAGACTTGATTCATTAGGTCCAAGGTGATGGGACAGACTAAAAACTGGAGCCCAAAGATATCCAGGTTCTAATCCTTGGAAACCATGAAAGTTACCTCAATATTGCAAAAGAGACTTCGTAGAAGTTGAGCGTGTTGAAATGAGAGATGTTTCTGGATGGCTAGGTCCTAGATGCAATCACAAGTATCCTTATACGAGTGAGATCTGACCACGGAAGAAGGCCACGTGACCACGGAAGGGAGAGGCGATGCTGCTGGCCTCGATGATGGAGGAAGGGGCCACAAAGAACTCACTTACTTCTACTTCCTCATTTTGCAGATGGGGACACTGAGGCCTAGGGAACTCTGCAGCAAGGCGGAAGGATGAGAGATGTTTTCATTCAGCTCTATCGGCTTTCAAATTCCACTTGGAGTTTTTAAAATGAGCGATGGTGCAGACTGCCAATAGCTTTGCAATAATCTCATAATGACCCAATCGTGAAACGATTTAGCAATCCTGCTGCTAATTGTATTTGGGGATATAGCAATTGGGTAACTAGTTGGTTATTACTCATTCCCCAAGAGCCATACACATCGAATTACAAGGAAGCTAATCTTAGAAATACTTGTTAACTCTGATGATAATTACTAAGTAATTGGCTAGAACATGCCATTGTGAATTTAGCTGGAATATGCCAGGTAATTATCTGGTCTTATGTTCCCTGTAAAATAAATCCAGGGTCCAAAAATTGTTCCAGTTGGTTGGCTATTGTCCAACCATCAACCTCGGCCAACCAATTACGCGGATGCAGGTGATTAATCAAATTACTCAAATATCGGGTTTCAAACTGAACATTCAGATAAGAGATCTGATGGTCAACAAGTGGGCGGTGCTAAATGGGAGAAGGGGGTGCACAGAACCCCTCCCAAGATAAATATATAATGACACAATAATATGGAATAAATGCCACTTCTTTGGGGCTCATCTGGCTTCTTCACACAAAATACCAAAACACTTCAGAGACCAATTACATGTCCCAAAGCTGCAGAGTCTTTATCACGGTGCCAGGAAAAGGCTGCGCTATTTGTGAAATCTGCAGGCAGTTACGGCGCTCAGGGAGGGGGCAGGGCGTGGAGTTTGTACATAATAGAAAGGGGCCACAAACGCAGCTGGCTTACAGGATGAGTGACACATTTTCATAATGACCACTCGTTTCTCAAGAATGACTGCTAACCGAATCTGTCCATTTCCAATTAGCCAGCCCTCGGGAAGGGGGTGAGGGAGGCTTGGGGTACTGGGCTCCACCAGTAAGCTGAGGAAGTCGGGGGGATGGCAAGAGGTCTTTAGAAGGGCCAGGCAACGGACAGGAGATGATGGGTTTGGAATTTCTACTTTGGGGATGTCAAAAAAGAGGGGTTAGAGGACCAGAACATGAGGAGCTGAGCAGAGAGAAATTTGGGAGTGACAGACTGGTGGGAGCAATAGGCAGAAGACCTGTGTGGGGGGGGGGGGGAAGACCACCTTCCAACCAGATGTGTGCACCCCAAATAAAGGGCTATGCATGAGGACGATACATTCTGGATAACAAAGAGGAGGAAAGGAGCTGTGGCAGGTTGTACAAGTGGCCACAAATTGTCCCTCTCCCTACATCTATGGCCCTGCAATGTGACATTGCAAACCCTCCCCTGCAGAGGCAGACCCTGTTTCTCCATGCCTTGAATCTAGGTTGACCACGCAACTTGCTTTGGCCAATGTCCATCGGTCAATGCAACACGGACAGAGGTGTGAAAGGCACTTGCCCATCAAGGCTCGACCTCTTATTGCCCTTGGAACCCTGAGACCACCCTGGGAATGAGCCCAAGCTAGGCTGTTGGCGGATAAGAGACCATGAGAAGGGGAATTGGGGCTCCTCTGCTGATAACCTGACAACCTGTAGACAAGTTAGTGAGGACACCCAAGAGTGACCAGCCCCCTGGCCTGACCTGCCAGCTGACCACAGACATGTCCAAGAGCCCAGCTATGGGGCCTGGCTCTGTGTAGAACTGTCCACAGAATAGAGGAAAACTCTGAAGTACTGGGAATAGTTTGTTACTCAGCACAAGCTTACTGATACACTCACCTCCTGAGAACAGCTCAGCCTCTGAATATGATCTGAGCTGGATATTTGAAAGCCTCTTCTGTCCCATTCAGGGCTGAGAACCACCATTTTTACCCTGGTTTAGGGAGAACTGAAGGGCCATCTCTCGATCTCCAATCCTTTGAAAATATTTACCACTGGACACATGGATTCAATCCATCATCTGCATAATCAATGCTAACGGACAATAACACACCTTCTTCTGACCACTGAGATCTTATAAATGGGCTCAAGGATGCTTTGTATCACAAGGGAACAGACCAAAGACATACCAGCTCTTCCCTGAGCTCACAGCTCCTGCCAAGATGAGAGGCTTGTGTATTTGGGATCTTATCACTTGAGCAGAGAATGGGAAGGAGAGAGCTGACTCTTGGCATCCCAGGCCACACCAGGAATGGCCCTGCTGTAGCCAGTCCTAATGCAATGGGGGAGCAACAACCAGAGTTTAAAAACACACCAAAGGATTGTTTCACAACTGTTCAACTGAAGCGAAAGCTATTTTTTTTTTCAATGCCCCATGTCACTGGGTGATGTCAGAGAGCAAGTTCAGGAAAGTTGCTATCATCTGACATTTTCTTAATGTCAGATTTTCTCACTACCCCTCCTGTGCAGCTAGAGATCAGGGATCCTGGATATTTAAAATAGCAGTGGTAAAGCCCTGCAAATGTTATCTGCTGCTTTAATGAAGCCAGAATAACAGTCATCACGATCTTAGCCCATGGGTGGCAAAACTAGGACCTCAGGGCCAAATCCAACACATCACCTGCTTTTATAAATAAAGTTTTATTGGCGCCCGGCCACATACATCCATTTACATCTTGTCTGTGGCTGCTTTCACATCCCAGTGAACAGAGTTGAGCAGTTGCTACAGAAACTGTAGGGCCCATAAAGCCACCAATATTCACTACTGGGCCCTTTACAGAAAAAGTCTGCCAACCCCTGATTGGATCCAATCAGTTCAATTTACATACGGAGACAGTGAGTCTCAGCAATGTTGTTTCACAAATACCTGGAGCACAGGGGGACCCGAACCAACTTTCCTACCTTCCCACTTACGGTCCTCTCCCCGTGGCACTGCTCTGCCAAAGAGTTTTAGCATCAAAAGTATTTTCTGGAATCTCAAATCGTAAAACCACATAATTGTGAATGGTAGAGCTAGAGATGCTCCATTCGCCAGGACGACGCATTAACCAGAACCCCCCCACCCCTTCTCAACCCTGCCAGAGGCAGGACTCTGGGAATGGGTCCATGGTGGGGGTGGTGGGCAGGGAGCCCCGGGCAGGACTGACCTGGTGATGATGGCCAGGTGGGGCGGGCTCATGCAGGCGCCCATGAAGAGCACCACGTTCTCATGGCGTGTCTGCCTGTAGGCCATCACCTCCCGCTTGAAGGCCTTGAGCTGCTCCTCGTTGTCCCTCTCGATGTCGATCAGCCGGATGGCCACCTCGCCGTGCCAGCGGCCATGGTACACCTGCCCAAAGCGACCCTTGCCGATGAGCTCGCCGACCTCCAGTTGCTCAAAAGGGATGTCCCACTCCTGCAGGAAGATGCTGGTCTGGCTGGCCTTGCGCGGGAAGCTCCGGGCTGAGAGCAGGGACAGGTTCATCTCCTCGAAGTCGTCCTCCGACTCTTCAGCCTCATCGTGGCCCTCTTCATTCTGTGGCCGGAAAAGGGGAGAGAGGTCAGAGTGGCTCCTGCCCCTGCCCCGTCTTCCCACGAAGTCCCCCCGCGTCTGAACACGTCTCTAGGTGCATTTTCAGCTGGTGGGGACATGTATCTATTTGCCCCAGGTCGCTCTTGTCCTAGAATCGTAGCAGATGAAGGAGCTAAAAGGGAGATCACGATAATCCAACGCTCTTTTGCCAAGGGGGAAACTGAGGCTCATAGAGGAGAAACACTAGGGGACCACCCATGCTGGTTTGCTGGACTTCCCTGGTTTGGGTACTAGAAGTCTCCTTGGGGAGGGGGCGCCAGGCTGGCTCAGTCGGTAGAGCATATGACTCTTGATTTCGGGGTTGTAAGTTTGAGCCCCACATTGGGTGTAGAGATGCCTTAAAAATGAAAGTCCCCTTGGGAAGCCCTTTGGTCCCAGCAAATGGGGATGGTTGGTCACCCCGGGAGGTTGCCCAGCTCTACATCACACAGCCAGGCAGAGCTAGGGCTAAGAAGCAGGTGTCTCGACTCCTAATCTCCAACGCCCTCCGATTCCACCGTGATGTATTGACCTGCCTACTCATGCGTGTGTAAGACAGACAACAGGCTGAACTGTGGGTGCAACAGATGTCTGCACAGAACACCTCAATATGGAGTGCCTTTTGCTTCCCCCAGGGGATTTGGAACCGATGTCAGAAACGGGGAGAGGTCAGAGCTCCTCCGCACAGGCCAGATGCCCGGGCTTCCTCTGCAGCTGTGGTGTCAGGGCTTGGAAGGGAGGCTCATAGGATGGGCTTACCAATCAGACAAAACGAGCTGGAATCTGGCCTCTGTGTGATCTTGGGCAAACTGCTTGACCTCTCTGAGACTTTCTTCTCTCATCATAAAGTGGAGCTAATAAAATCCGCCCCCCCAACCCTGGGGGATGGTATGAGGTTTTCAATGAGAGGAAAGCCTCTTAAGTCCATTGCACACACCTGACCACCTGTATCCAACAATCCCTGGGCTTCCGGAGAAAACGTAGATTCCTGGGCCCTACCCAGAGCTACCGAATCAGAAAAGAGCAGGCTGGGGCCAGAACTCTGCATTTTTATCCCCACACACCCACACAGCCCAGGAACGCTTAGGTGTGACCACCGCAATCCTTAGACGCTGAAGGTCCAGGGACCTGCCTTCCCAGCGTGGTGGCTGGGAGTGCCCTAGCCCTTGGGTTCTTTTGCTTAAGTGAGGAAGCAGCAGGAGCTCCAGCCAGTGGGGATTCCCAGAGGCTTGGGGCCTGACGAGGCAGCCTGAGGTCTTCCTGACCCCAAACCTGAGCAAGCTGTCCCTCGTAGCACACTCAAGAGAAATGACACAGTCTCCGTTGGCTTCCCCCAGGATAATTTTTCAACTAGCCCAGTAATCGCAGAAAGGACACGATTTTCTCTGGACACCCTAGTTCTACTCCCTTCACTTTAGGACACAGCGACAGGGCTGAGGAGTCCATGGTTCTTACCCAGGACACTTCATTTATTCCTCCAGTAGTTTTGGCCAATGGGAAGAAGCCCCAGAACATTCTCAAAAGCCCGCCAAGCTCAGTGTCCCCGGGGACCCTGCCTCCCCCAGTGTATTCTTTGGAATGCAGTGGGACATATCCCCCTTGGTATTCCCCTGGCCCTAAGTTGATTTTTCAACTAAGAATTCGAATCTCTTGCCAACTTCTGCACAACTAGCTTTTCCATGATGCACACCATACAACGGCCCATTAGGCTTGGTGCTGGGAGGGCCGCCCCTGCTTGGACACTACCCTCCCCGCCGCTTGTCAGTTGTCCCGGAGTTAGAACATCCATCAAACAGGTTTGCCCCCGTCCCCACCTGCCCCAAGCCCTCTGAGTCATTAAAGTCATCCGTCAACTCCGCCAAGCGCTGGGCAGCCCCAGGAAAAAGGTGTTTCTCCCTCTCCGAATCTCACCTCTGAGGTTGGCTCCACTTCAATTTGAAGTAATGGATTTCCTTCCAAGCTTTAAAGAAAGAAAAATAAATGTGACCCTCAGGTGAAAAGGGAGGTCGGTGTCTTATTGATCCATGTATGAAGAGTCTTGGAATGAGAAACCCTCACCATCAAGGCTTTATCTCAACTTTCACTTCAACACTTGTGTCTAAAATAATCCATAACCTCGCCACGAAGAAGCAATGACAAGGACACTGTTTTAAATAGATTTTCGGGGCTGCTCAGGGCTCATTTTTTCTTTATGGCTTTGGTTTCCACTAATCTAGCAGCTTCCTTACACATTGGCCTAAATGCCATGGGCCGAAGGATCCTCAGAGCTCTGGGTATTTGCTAGGAAAGAATTAATGAGATTGCTAAGTTCACTTGGGTTCAGGATCTTACGGGAGAACCCTGGAGTTCGGGATTACAGGTACCCCCTGCTTTCTGAAAGCTGGCATCACGCCACTTTGCTTTTACGAAAGATCTATGCTGGTATCTACCAAAAGAAATTCGAAGAGCGTTTTTGCTTTTATGAAAGAAGGTAAAAAGTGAACATGGCATTCAGCTTTTGTTTTGCAGCAAGCCATTATAGAGGTAGCGTGCGCCCCGAGCAGCGTGAGGGGTGCCTCCAAGCTCCTTCCTGGGGAGCTACCCTCAGCATCTCAGCATCCAGCCACCAGAGCTTTGACCTGTGTCCATGAGCATCTGCGCTTCATCTACGAGAAGTAATTTTGGGGGCTGGGGGACACCCCCAATTTTTCCATATAAATGAATGATAATTGCTTCTTTGCATGACACCATTTTGGCTCCTGAAAGTTTTCATGGGAATGCTCTACTTTCAGATAGCTGGGAAAACCTGCCTGTGCCAGGGCCGGTGCGAGGCCATCAGGGGGATATGGAGTCGAAACTGGCGTGGCTCCTGACTTTGAGGAGTATTATATTACTACCGAAGGGACTAAAGCAAGCACAGAGATACTATGCAGAAAGGCTAAAAGTGACATGGGCCGAAAGTTAGGTATGAATCGAATAAATGGAGTATGATGGAAATGCCCCAGGGAGATTACTGGATGTATTTTGAAAATTCTCAGTGTTTGAGTTAAAGTTGGATGTTGCCAATCACATCGAATCGGGAAGTGTGGAATGAGAACGAGCGAAACCGTATTGGACTGGAAGACACAGGTGTGTGTGTGTGTGTGCGTGCGTGTGTGTGTGTGTGTGCGCGCACGCAGATGTGTCCATGCGCGAGGGTGACGCAGTCATGAGCTCCTGAGCTGCAGCTGTGCTAAGCGTGGGCTCGTGCTGCGTGTGGGTGCTGGGGGACACAGTGTGCTTGCGTATGTGAGTGCTAAGTATATATCAGCTACCACGTGAGTACAATGGGATGTGCTCTGTGTAGGGGTTGTTCTGGGTGCATGGGAGTTGGGTGTACTTCCTGGGGATGTTGGGGGCACGCCATATGTTGACAGTGTAGCTGGGTATGTACTGGGGTCTGAGGGGATTGTCGGAGCACATGGTATGTGATGGGGATGTGAGGTGTTTCTGGGGGTGTGTTTGCAGAGGAGAGGATGTGTGTGTGTGTGTGTGTGTGTGTGTAGTGCGGTGGGGAGACAGTAACTGGGCTGCTGAAGGCACAGAAAAGCTGGAAACAGTGGCAGGAAAAAAATCACAATGAACACCTTACGCCCTTCCTATTTCCCCTGGGGAAGCTTAGCAGATCCCCCTACCCACCCCTCATTTGAGGGGCCAGTGCTCTCCTGACCCTGAGACCCCAAGAAGCTGCCGACCCTGCAGACAGGGCCAGTCCACTTGCTGGAGGCGCTCCAGGTGAGAGGGAGCCTGAGAGGCTAGAGGAATTAAAAGAAGGGGAAAGAAGGGTGGGTCACAAAGTGCTGTCTGCTTTCATATTAAGGAGTTATTTACAGTACGGAATGAAACCACCCAGCGACAGCTGAAATGCTGGGAACTTAACGCCTTGGGGCGATCTGGGTGGAACAATGCAGCTGGAGTCCCTCCTCACACCCAATGACAGAAAATGACAGAACAGGCAGCCCTCCTCCGCTTGCATCAGGCGTGATTACGGTAGCCCAGCGATTAAATGATTTCCTTCTGTGAAGAGTTAGAGCCCATCGCTCCATGCACGCTTAAGCAGATCGCAGGCAGCTACGGACTCTGTAGTTCACTGGCACGCCCTGATTGCCAGTTAATAACCTGGGGTTCGTCCTGCACAAATTGTGGAATTGGTTTACGTGCAGCAGGGAAACAATCCGGAGCTAGATGTCAGCACAATATGCCCGGTAAATTGCTGCTCCTTTGATGTCACAGATGTACCATTTGTCCATAACCCGGGTCAGAAAGGATGGAGTAGTTAAGAGAGCCAAAAGAACAACCGAGGAGGCAAACATGGGAGTTGGGAAGCTGGCCAAAACGAAATCAGGTCCCTAGCATGCCCCCCACTTCGGCCGCAACCGAAGAAGTTAAGTCAAGGAAGGTGGGTTTCACTTGGGGCTGCTCCACCAACAGACCACCTGGAAAGAGAGTCTGTGTCCCACGGATGCTTAAGATGCCACATGCAAAGACATCCATTGCAGTGTTGTTTACGACAGTGCAATATGGGAAGATAGGCGATCTGGCAATTGGGAAATGGTTAAGGACATTTTTCTACATCAATAATGATATTTTACAGCCATTAAAAACAATGCCTATAAAGAGTCTGGAATAATACAAAAAATGCGAGGCTATAGCTTTACGGGATGACAAAGCTGGCTGGAAACTGTGTAGACCATGAAACGCAAGCATGTAAAACATGAATAGAAAGAGCACACGTCAAAGTTCTAAGAGCGGTACAACTACGAGTGATGATTTTTCCTTTCTCTTTTTACAGAACAGTCCACGTTTTCCAAAATTAGCTCAGATTATTCTTATAATGGTATAAACCAGAGGTCAGCAAATTTGGTACTTAAAGGGCCAGATAGTAAATATTTTGGACTTTGCAGACCCTACAGTCTCTGTTGCCACTACTCAGCTCTCCTGTTGTACTTTGAAAGCCATATAGACAGTATGTTGTAAGCAAATGGGCGTGGCTGTGTTCCAATAAAACTTTATTTATAAAAACAGGTGGCAAATTGGATGTGTCCCATAGACTGTAGTTTGCTGATCCCTCGTATAACCCTAAATTATGCTTTTTAAAGGTGGGGGACAATGACATAGGATAACTGTTCTTTCATTAAGCTCTAGCTATTGCAGAACGTTATCTTTCTGATCATAGAGGAGTCTGGGGATCCTAAGGAAATGGTCCAGCCCCTGGAAATCACCCTTGATGAGCAGGGCCGGGACACAAAGCAGAGCTGACTCGTCCATTGGGCTGAGAGACGCTGTCACGCTCTCCTTCTCTTTACCTAAATCATTCCCTAAGTCTCTCTCTCCCCCAGTCTCCCACCCCATCAATTCCAGGAAGAGGAAGACAGAAGACAGCGACCCTGAGCAGACTGAAGAGCCAGGACAGGGGAAGGAGGTCTCTGTTCCACTTACATTGGATTCGAGGTCACTGGATGCAGGATGACCTGGGGCGCCCGGGTCGGGGTCTCCGGCACTGGCACCACATCTGAGAAGCAGACATGGGACAGTCAGAAACCCAACATGGAGTCCACAACCTCCCCCAAAGACCTGATTCCTGGGAGATGGGGCAGCTAGGAACTTCTCATCAGATCATGGGTCCCTGGGGCTGGCCAATCCCTCCTTTCCCTTCCTCGATCACTTGAACTCTTCCTGCTCACATGCACCCAAGATGGCACCCTGAACAAAATACGTCACTGATAACAAGGGGGTTGCCAGAGCCCCAAGCCTCTGACTTTACGCACCCACTGGTCACCTCTGAATCACCCCCTATTCCTGAGTTCTCTTTGGGCTGGTGAGGCCACTTGGTTTCACATCTCCCGGTGCCCAACTCAGTCCCTCTGACCACCTCTCCCCTGCCACGTGGCTCTGGACCCCTCCTCACCCTGGCCCGTCCTTCTACTGCAGACCACCTTCTCAGGCCTTTCTGTTGTGCCTCGGGATCTCCTTGGTACCACAGTGCCCTTGGGACCTCCCAGCTTCTCCTCTCCCACCTCCATGGCTCGCCATGATCCTGGGGGCTGGTGGTTCCACTGCTGCCCTCTTTGAGCTTGCCCACCCCAACAACCCTTGCCTTCATCCATTCCAGCAACGTGTGCCCCTCCGCAGGCTTCGCCGGGGGGCCTGAGCGCGCTCACGGACTCACCTGGGAAGATGAACTGCTGCTTGTATTTGTAGTAGTGGGACGCTTGCAAAAGAATGGAAACGCCAAAGTCAGTGCTGTCCCGGGGCTGTCCCTTCGAATAACAAATCGGGCTCTCGCAGCCACTGTGTGGGTTCTCTGCCTACACCCGAGGGTTCCCAGATTTCTGCGGACACCCTAAATCACAAGGGCCTAAGAGCCTGCATGAAAGAACCAGGGCTCTACACATCCAAGCCAACCCTCCCACCTGCAGCTCCCTGAAAATAGAGCATCTCAACTTGGAGAGTCACCCAGAGCACAGTCCCATTTTTGTTAACTGCATAGGGACAGACACACACACACACACACACACACACACACAAAGTCTTTGTCAAGCCATCTCTAAAATATTCATTTTTCCCTTTGCCAGAGTGATTAGAGAGGCTTTAAAAAAAACCCTTTATGACATAATGAGATATCATCTCACCCCTGTTAGGATGTCTACTATCAAAAAGATAAGAGAGAGGTGCTGGCGAGGGTGTGGAGCAAGGGAAGAGCGTGGGGCACCATTGTTGGGGATGCAAACTGGTGCAGCCACTGTGGAGAACAGTCTGGAAGGTCCTCAAACAATTAAAAAACAGAACTATCACAGGATCCAGCACACCCACTTCTTGGAATATATCTGAAGGAAATGAAATCGCTATCCTGGAGAGATATCTGCACTCCCATGTTCATTGCTGCAATATTTATAGGAGCCAAGACATGGAAGCAACCCAAGTGTCCACTGATGGATGAATGGATAAAGCAAATGGTGTGTGTATACACACACACACACACACAATATATTTATATATGTACATACAATGGAATACTCTTCAGCTATAAAAAAGAGGAAATCCTGCCATTGCAACCACATGGATAGACCTCGAGGGCACTGTGCTAAGTGAAATAAGTCAGACAGAGAAAGACAAATGCTGTATGATATCAGTTAATATGTGGACTTTGAAAAAAAAAAAACCCATATTCATAGAAACAGAACCGGATGGGTTAGGGGGCTGGCTGAAGGTGGTCAAAAGGCACAAACTTCGAGTTATAAGACAAATAAGTCCTAGGGATGTAACGTGCATCATAGCGACTACAGTTAACAATACTGTTTCGTATATTTGCAAGTTGCTGAGAGCGTACATCTCAAAAGTTCTCATCACCAGGAGAAAAATCTGTAGCTGTGTGTGGTGATGGATGGTAACTAAACTTAGAGTGGTGATGATTTTGCAACTTCATACACGCATCAAGTCATTCTGTGGTGCGCCTTCAACTTATACAATGTTGTATGTCAAGTATACTTCAATAAAATTGGAAAAAAATATGCATTTCCTGTGTTTTCCAAATTTTTGCTTTGAGCTTTGTATTAGTGTTCCTGCTGCTGCTATAACAAATTACCACCCACTCGGTGGCTTAAAACAATACGTTTACCTTCTTATAATTCTAGAGGTATGAGAAGTGTGGAATAAGCCATAAAGGGCTAAAATCAAGGTGTCGGCAGGGCTGGTTCTTTCTGGAAGCTCCTGAGGAGAATCTGTCCCTTGCCTTTTCCAGCGATGAGAGCCTGCATCTCTTGGCCCAGAGCCCATCACTTCAGTCTCTGCTCTGGTCCTGACATCACCTCCTACCATCTCTGACCTTCTTGTCTCCCTCCTGTCAGGACCCCTGGGGTTACATTTAGGATCCATCTGGATAATCCAGAGTGATCTTCCCACCTCAGGATCCTTAACTTAATCACATCTGCAAAGACAAGTCCCATAGGAAGTAACACATACACAGATTCTGGAATTAGAGCATAGCCATGTTTGGGGTACCATTATTCTGCCCACCATGAGCATGAGTTGATCTCTATATTTAGGGATAAAAGAAATTTCCTCAACTTCGCTGCTGATTTCGCCTACACTTTATTTCACTTCTGGTTCACTCACCAGAGGCCAGCTCTTCCGGAAATCCCCGAGGTTTCTGATGTTACCAGTTACTGGTGACAGTGGGATGGAGGTGGGAGCAGGGGGGACAAGGGTATCATGGGCACTGGGGAGGTCACACAGAGTTTCATCTCCCCAAGCAGAGGAAGTGAGCAGGAATGGGGTCAGATAGGAGTCTGAATTGATGAATATGCTTCCAGAAATAATTTTATTACGTCCGGGGCAACCTATGACTTGCACGTTGACTCACCCAGAATTCATGGAGTGGATCAGAGGCTGGGGCCAGGGGTTGACAAACCATGGCCCATGGGTCAAGTCTGGACCATCACCTGTTTTTTTTTTTTTTTTTTTAAAGATTTTATTTATTTATTCATGACAGACAGAGAGAGAGAGAGAGAGAGAGGCAGAGGGAGAAGCAGGCTCCCAAGGAGCAGGGAGCCCGATGCGGGACTCGATCCCAGGATCCTGAGATCATGACCTGAGCCGTAGGCAGACGCTTAACCATCTGAGCCACCCAGGCGCCCCCATCACCTGTTTTTGTTCATAAAGTTTTATTGGAACACAGTCTCATGTTCATTCATTTGCATGCTGTCTCTGGCTACCGTCATGCTACAACGTCATAGTTGAATATTTGCGACTGTATGGCCCACAAAGTCTAAAATATTACTATTAGGCCCATTATAGGAAAAGTTTGCTGACTTCAAGTGTAAAGCAAAGAGGAGCTGGACAGCAGGAGTGGGAGGCTGTTCCTAGAGGGTCGAATCCTCGCTCTTCCTTTGGCTGTTTGTAAAAGCTTAAGCAACTCTGAGTCTCAGTTTCCATGTGCGTAAAATGGGGATAATAACAGTCTTTCCCTCCCAGGGCTGAGATCATCACTACATGAGATCAGAGTGCATAGTAGTGCTAAATAAGCATTAGCGGCAACGGTTAAGCCACTATCTTTCTAAGCTCTCTTAATAAACAGACAAGAATGACTTATAATTAAGAGAAAATCAATTTCAAAGAGCAAAGTCATTAGCTGTCCCTGAGGTTGGAACTGATTGATAAACTCTCCCAGGACAGAGAGCAAGTGTTGGTATCTCAGGATCCCAAGGGCCCTTGCACCAGTGGGTGCACGACTCATGTTTGTGGAATTAATCAACTCTCTTCCAGCACAGCAATCCCCAAATATCCCAGATAGTTGGAATCTGAACGGATGCATTTTCTAATTCTGGAAAATGAGGTGCCCGGGACGGGAAGCAACTCATTCGAAGTCACAGAGCAGAGCTTTAAAAGAGAACCAATCTCCGTGATTTCAAGGACCTTTTTCTGTTAGATAACTTAGGTCTGTTTTTTGTTTTTGGTTTTTTTTTTCATTGCACCCAGTCAACAAGGGCTAAAATTAAAAAGGAAAAACTACCCGGAGTTCTCAAGAGGCTTAGCTGATCTCTTCCCTCCCCAGCTGGAACAGGCGATTCAGCGTCTGCAGAAAAGGCTAGCTGGTAATGATCTTTCACAGAGCAGCAGCTGGGGGAGGGGAGGGAGAGGGAACACTGCCCCAAAGAGGGACAGGTGTTAGGCAAAGTGGATGCTGGCAAAGGCCTCCATGCGCAGAGCCGGCCCCCTCCTCGACCCCTCTGTGTGCCGGGGAACAGCTCGTTCCTGACGAATGACAAGGAGAGAGTGGCCAGAGAGGAGTCAAGGCGTGGCCGTGAGCCCTGTCCTTGCCGACAACAGCCACGAGTGAGCAGCAGCTCCAACAGGAAGCTGATGAACCCGAATGGCCTGTCCAGGAAAGCTGAGTGGCCCCCCTCACTCTCTGGAACGGAAGAGGACTCGGGACCTGGGAGGCTTCAGGTGGCCCGGAGGCCAGAGACATAAGCAGACCGCTTTGAAGGCTCCTCTACTCGGAAGCCCTCCTTCCTTCCCTCCTTCCCGAAGGTCTCCCCCCAAAAGCAGTCTGAGTGGTTTCGAGGAGGAAGGATCTAGAAGGAAGGAGGGAGGATAAGTCATCTCCTGCCTACACCTTTTAAATAAAATTCAGATTTAAATAAAATGCAGATCCCTGCCATGCCCTGCCAGGCCTCCTCCCTGCAGCTCTGAGTCTTCCTTGGTGCTATTTTTCCCTTTTTCGTGGCACTCAGGTCTTGGGGACATTTTTTTCAGCTCTTTCCTGGGGCAGGGCCTTTGTACATGCTCCCCTCCCTCTGCCCGGTCAACTCTCCCCCATCTTCGGAACTCAGCCACCTCTGACCCTTCAACCTAAACTTGTTCTCCTCTTGAATTTGCAGTGGGGTTGCTGTAACGTTGTTCTTTCCCTTCAAAGCACTTGTCGCAACTTATTTCAGGTGTATGTCTGCGTAGCTAACCCATCTCTCCCACGAAGCCAGACTCCACGAGAATGGGGACTGGCAGGCCGAATAATACCGCTCTGCCCAAGAGGTCCACATCCTATTCCCTGGAAACCATGACTGCATCCTCTTCCATGGCAAAAGGGCCTCTGCAGGTATGATTAAGTGAAGCATCATGAGATGGGCAGGTTATCCTGGATCCTCTGGGTGGGCCCTAAGTGTAATCATATGGGTCCTTACAAGAGGGAGGCAGACAGATCCAAGTCAGGGATGGAGAGTCAGAAATGTGACGATGGAAACAGGGGTGGGAGGGGTGTGGAGCCACGTGCAAAGAAGGGATGCAGAAAGCCACTAGAGGCTGGGAAAAGGCAAGGAGGTGGAATCTCTCCTAGCCCCCCAGGCAAAACCAGCCCTGCGGACACCTTGATGTTTAGCCGGGTGAAACTGACTTTGGACTTATGACCTCCATCACTGTAAGGTAATACATCTGGGCTGTTTTAAGCCACTAAGCTTGTGGTGATTTGTCACAGAAGCCACTGGAAACTCATACAGGGCACGGCTGGTTTGTGTATTGCTCCAAACCTAGTGCCTCGTATAGGACTGGAACATAGTAGATGCTCAATAAATACGTGTACGGAAATGGATGGGTGAATGCAGTCTGAGGGCCAGAAGATGACTTGAAGAGAGAAAACTGCAGCCCTGGGAAGTGCAAGAATTTCAAGTCATTCATTCGTTCATTCAATCCCTCCCTCATTAAAAAAAAAACCAACAACATTTAATTAGTGCCTTCAGCAGTAGGCAATGTGTTGGGTTTCAGGTATAGAGGGGTAAATGAAGCAGACATGTGTCTTAGTCTCATGGAGCTGACAATTCTGATTATCATGAGGACATGGGCACTAAATAAGTTAATAAATGAACAAGATCATGGCAGGGAAGGAGGAGCACTGTTGAGCATAAAGAGGGAATCAGGGTAGAGTAGGGGGAGGTGGGTGGTTCTGCAAGGGGGGAAACCCCCATGAGCCACTCACCAGGTCAAACATGGCCCCGGGATTTGGAAGGGAGTGGCGGAGAACAAGGAGGTCGATCACAGATCCTACCAAGTCTATACCTGATGCTCTTGGTTTTCTAAATAAAAACTCTTCTTTCGTATGTCATGAGGTTAACAAGTGAGCCAAATGCCTGTTAACCCCACGGACCCTTTTGGAAAAGAACGTTCTAGATCAGTCAATGCTGGGGACTGGTTATGCCTATGCATTAGCTGGAATAGTCTTTAGAAAACTCAACAACTGGCACGGAACCATGGTCAAAGCTGCTTTCCTGTCAGCAAAGGTTCACAGTCAAGAGTGTGACAGTGACGAGGGCCTTATATGAACAGGATAGGCACTTGTCATTCTGAGGGAATTTTGCTAAAACCTCCTAAGTCAAGGGAGACGGTCTGGCTGCTCCTCTGGAAGGTCCCATTTTGCTTTCCATTTCAATATTGCATTTTATTATTACTACTCAATTACAAAACTGGTGCATGCTCCTTGGTATTCTATATGTTGTAGCAATGCATAAAATAAAATTATTCTTCTTAGAAATAGCTGCCATGAAGTTCCTATAGACTTTTTTGGGGTGCATATACACAACTATATATACACCCACATATAAACATATGTATACAACTATATATAATTATTTTAGAATACAGAGGATGTAGGGGAGCCTGGGTGGCTCAGTTGGTTAAGCGACTGCCATTGGCTCAGGTCATGATCCTGGAGTCCTGGGATCGAGTCCCGCATCGGGCTCCCCGCTCAGCGGGGAGTCTGCTTCTCCCTCTGACCCTCCCCCCTCTTGTGCTTTCTCTCTCTCAAATAAATAAATAAAGTCTTAAAAAAAAAAAAGAATACAGAGGATGTTATTATACCAACTGCTTTGCAAATCACTTATTTTCCCACTTAAACTGCATTGTGGATCTCTTTCATGTCAGGATATCTATAAGGAGCCACCCCATTCTTTTTAAGGGCCCCTGAATCTTTGGTTATGCAGATATATTACAGTGTATCAACCATTCCCCTCTTGGGTTGAGTCCAGATTCTCCACTATTGCAATGAAATCCTTACATATAGATCCCTGTGCCCTATGCAAGCATACCTGTATATAAAGTCTTAGAAGTGATATTGCTGGTCCAAGGAATGTACATATAAAACTTTGATAGACAATGCAAAATTACCTTCTCAGAAGGTTGAATTCAATTCCTACTCCTAACACCCGGGTATATGAGGATTTCCTCTTTATTTCCAGAATTCTGATTAGGGCCCATATGAATTAGCAGTGATGGTGAGAAATGCCAAAAATGGTAGCCATGGTAGTTTTTTTGTTTTGTCTTTTTTTTTTTTTTTTTTTTAGAGAGAGAGCAGGGGAGGGGAAGAGGGAGAGGGAGAGAGAGACTCTCAAGCAGGCTCCACACCCAGCATGAAGCCCAATGTGGGGCTTGATCTCACCATCCTGAGATTACAACCTGAGCCGGCATCAGGAGTCAGACGCTCAACCAACCCAGGTGCCCCAGCATTTGTTAAGATCTTCAATGAGACAGGCACTCTGCTCAGCTTTGTACGTCTATGATGAGGTTTAGTCCTTCAATGATTCTATGAAGCAGATACTATTATTATCCCCATTTTACAGAGGAGGAAACAGAGGCACAGAGCGGTAACTGATTTGCTCAGCATGATGCAGGTATTAAGTAGTAGAGGTAGCATTTGAACCCAAGCAGCCCAGCTCCAGAGCTCAGAGGACCTTGCAGCCCACTCCCCAAATATCATTGTCATGAGATGCTCCGGAGTAGGTGCAGATCCTCTGGCAGGCAAGCAGCAAATCAGCAAGGACCCCGCCTCAGGGACCCGACCGAAGGAATGAAGAAGCTCAGGGAGACCAGCGATCAGCCCTGGTTAGCCAGGTGTCTTGTCTAAAGATGTCAGCAGAGTCTTTGAGGGACAGAAAGAGTTATGGCACTCTGACACATGGTTCTGCCTTAGTCTACAGCCATACCATCCTGAACGTGCCCAATCTCGTCTGATCTCGGAAGCTAAGCAGGGTCGGGCCTGGTTAGTACTTGGAAGGGAGACCAAAAGACCCTTTACCTCTCTGAGCCTCAGGACCCTAAAGGACCTCTTAAGGTCCTTTCTCAGCCCCTGGCCGTTAAGCAAGCAGCAAGCAGCAAACAGTTTCGGGGACAGTGCCCGAAGTCAGTGTCCAAGGGGGGGTGGGTGGAGCAACTCTAAGAAAGCACCCAAACCCCCACTTCTTCCCAGATTTGGGGGCTTCATGAAGCGTCAAAGGGTCTTTCTTCCATTCACCCTGTTCCAGGGAAATGGAAATGGACAACCCCAGAGGTGACAGTGGGAGCCCCCAGCCTGTGGGCATAGAGGGCAATTTTGGCCTAATTGACTCGGGGAAGCACATGCTGAGATGATTCCAGGTGCTGACTCACATTATGGTCTTTGGTGGCTGCCAAGCGAGTGGCCTTCCCACCGGACAGAGACAAGACTGCCTCAGGCTTGAACTTCACACACACAAAAATCCCCATATCGCCAAGACTTCAAAATGTGCCCTATTCCTATGGACATAGCCCTGATCAAAACAGTGTGGGCAGGTGACAGCTTGTCCTTAAATCAGTAGTTGTATCTGGGTGCTGCTTAGGAGTGGGAGTGGACCCCCATTTGCCTACCTGCCACTCACTCGTGGCTGATTAGGCTTGGAAGTGTGACCTGTAGCTGAGAACCTGGATTTCCTCCCCTGCATGAAGCTCGCTGGCCCAGGTGGAGATCAGCCCCTAGATCAGCACTGTCCAGTGGAACTTTCTATGATGATAAAAATGTTCTATACTCTTCACTGGCCAATATGGCAGCCACCAGCCCCAAGTGGCTACTGAGTAATCAAAATGTGGCTAATGTGGCCAAGGAATTAAAATGTTAATTATATTTAATTTTAATTCATTTAAATTTAAATAGCCACATGTGGCTAGTGGGCACCATATTGAATAACACACATCTAGATTGTGGTTCCCACTGGCCAAGCAGACCTCATCCCTCCAGCCTCCTTCCTGCAAATATGGCCAAGCTAGGAAGTCCTTAGGGCCCTAGAAGAGGAAGTGAGCTGGGCTGGACCTCAGAAGAGGTGGGAACACTCTTAGATCTGGTCCTCCTGAGCAGAGAGGGATCTCTTTCTTAAGTCTAATGACAAAGGAGGCCAAGAAACCGAACATCTCATGAGTGGCTTCTCCAGCATCTCATAGCCCGGTGCATGGTCTCAGGTCAGCAGCCAGGTCCCCTGGAATTTGTGAGCTGGGAGAACCTTCTGGATCCTCTTATCCATCTGTATCCTTTCAGGGGTGGGAAAACTGAGGTTACAGGTCACACGGCAGGAACAGGGCAGAACTGGATACTGAATCCAGGACTCCAGCTGTTCATTCCAAGCCCTATCCTGATACCTGGAGTAAGACTCCATCCAAATGCAGCCCTGCTCAGCTGCGGCCCCAGGATCCTGATGCCAATTCCAAGCTATTTAGCTTATGAGACAACTGCCAGCTTGAGTAGATGCCCTCCCCCCCATGACTGATACTTAGTTGCAGACACTGGGTTGCTGTTGGCCCTTAGTCTACGGCCATACCACCCTGAGCGCACCCGATCTCGTCTGATCTCGGAAGCTAAGCAGGGTCGGGCCTGGTTAGTACTTGGAAGGGAGACCAAAAGGCCCTTTACCTCTCTGAGCCTCAGTGTCCTCATCTGTAAAATGGAGCCGAGAAGACTTACTTCATGGCCACCCTAAAGATCAAATAAGGTAATAATGTGGTGATTGCCCTGCCTATAGGAAGACTCAACCACATGCCTTCAACCCATTGCCTTTAAGCACGGACTGACCCAGACACGGCTCTGGTTCGAGCCCAACCCCCGCTCCCAGCGACACCCCAAGTGCAGAGGTACCTGGCAGGTTGAAGTTCTTCTGCTGCCTCGTGCACTGAGGGGAAGGGTGCAGGGGAGAAGGCGGCGTGGCGCTGGGAGGGAGGGGGGGTGCTGGCGAGGAGGGCGTGGAGGACGTTGTGGATGAGGGATTGCTGCTAGAATCTGGCTGGTAAGGGACAGGGATGTGGTCCTGCAGAAAGAAAACGGGGGAGGGGCCAGGGGGAGGCAGAGAAGCAGAGATACAGCAGTGAGAGTGAGCAAGCAGGAAGGAACCCCATGCCAGCATTCTTAGCCTCCCCTGCCCTCAGCCACCAGACCCTTCCCACGTCCCACCTGCTTCATCATCCCCGCCCACCAGCTGGTTTGCATCCAGCTGTGGAAGGAACAGTTTCTGGCATCAATTTCCCGCCCGCTGTCTGGACTCCAGAGCGAAAGGTTACCACGTAATGAAAGCCACGTAGGTGACAGCCACGCTCCCTGTGCTTTTTGATTTTGGAAAGTCCCACGCCAAGGTGCCCAGAGTGCTCTTTCCATTCCTAACACCTTTCCTCCCGAGTGTTTATTAAAGAATCAACAGCCTGACAGCTCCAGAGAGAGTGAGAGAGCGAGCCTACAGCTTCTTCCTTCACATCTCATTTGGAGGCGCCACTGCCTCTCCTGGACCCCGAACCTGCTCTAAGCAAACATGAGGCCAGAATCCATATGTACACCATCAGAATCAGGAGCAGTGTCGTGGCTTGAAGAGTGTCCCCCAGTAGACCTACCCCTTGGGAAACTCAGAATGTGAACTTCTTTGGAAAAAGGTCTTTGCGGATGTAATTGAAGATCTCCAGAGGAGATCATTCTGGATTAAGGTGCACCCTAAATCCAGTATCAAGTGTCCTTATAAGAAATGGAAAATGAGAGACATGCACAGAGGGAAAGGCCATGTGAAGACAGAGGTAGAGATCGACTGCCACGTCTCAAAGCCAAGCAACGATTAGGATGGCCAGAGCCACCAGACGTTAGGAGAGAGGCATGGAACGGATTCCCTCTCAGAGCCCCCAAAAGGAACCAACCCCCCTAACACCTTGATTTCAGATGCCTGGCCTCCAGAACGGGGAGAGGAAAAATATCTGTTGTTCTAGCTCTCCAGTTTGTGTAGTTATGGCAGCCCCAGGAGACTGATGCCAGCAGAAGCCCGGGTCAGGCAAACCCAGACGCAGATCCCACAGCCACCCCTTCCCCCTATGTCCGGGACCAAATGCTCTTAACCTCTCTGGTCCTCAGTTTTGCCCATTGTGAAATGAGAATAATACCAGCCAACCTCAACGTCCTATAGAAGGGATTCCTGCCTCCCAATGCCAGCAGAGCTAAGTGTTCTCAGGGACAGCTTAATCTGTCCACTCACAGGACGCTGTCACTTGGTCCCTGCATTACTTAGAGGTCCATCACTCTGACTGGCTGTGGGTGCCTGAGGATGGTTTTGTGTGAGCCGGTTATTTGACAACAGGTATGTTTACCTGCCAAACTGCAGAGTCAGTGTAACAAAACCAACCAGAATAGGGGGGCCAGGGGGAATGGGAAATGGACATTCTCCATCTGGCTGCCCAATGGGTGTCCGTGCTGTGCATGTCACCCTCCCAGAATGCACTCGCTCCCACTGCCTCCAAGAAAGCGACTTCACTTCTGTGAGCTTCAGTCTCTCCTCGTCCCTCACGTGAGCTAAGAACACCCACCTGCTGGGTCTGCTGTGAAGTTCAGATGAGGTTGCGTAGGCACCTACACCCCTGGGATTGGGCCGAGGCACTTGGTTGTCAGTAAATGGTAGCAATTACGTTGGCGACACAATTGGCAATTAAACTTTTTATCTGAGATTCCTGCAGATTCACATGCAGTTTTTTTTTTTTTAGAATTTTTTTTTAAGATTTTATTTATTTGACAGAGAGAAACACAGCGAGAGAGGGAACACAAGCAGAGGGAGTAGGAGAGGGAGAAGCAGGCTCCCCGCTGAGCAGGGAGGCCAATGCGGGGCTCGATCCCAGGACCCTGAGATCACGACCCGAGCCGAAGGCAGACACTTAACGACTGAGCCACCCAGGCGCCCCTCACATGCAGTTTTAAGAAGTAACAGAGATCTCGTGCATCCTTACCCAGTTTTCTCTGATGATTACATCTTGCAAGATTACAGCACAATATCACAACGCAGACATTGAGTGGATACAGCGACGATACAGAACATTTCCACCACCACGGGGATCCCTCACATCGCCCTTTTATAGCTATCCCCACTTGCCTCTCTCTCTTCACCTCTCTCCCTCCCATCTTGAACCCTAGACACCACTAATCTATTCTCCATTTCTCTAATTTTGTCATTTCAATAATGCTATATAAATTGAATCATCATACTTTATGATGTAACCTTTCTGGATTGGCTTCTTTTTTTCACCCAGAAGAAGTCTCTGAAGATTCATCCAAGCTGTTGCGTGTATCAATAGTTTGTTCCTTTTGATCGCTGAGCAGTATTCTATGACATGGATGTATCACAATGTGTTTGATCATTCACTCATTGAAGGACAGCTAGGTTGTTTCCCCTCCATGGCTACTGTGGATAAAGCTGCTCTTAACATTCATGTATAGGTTTTGTACAAACAAAAGTGTTTATTTCTCTGGGATAAATACCCAGAAGTGCAACTTCTGGACAGCATGGTAATTGCATGCTTTATTTTTAAAGAAAATGCAAATATTGTTCTTTGGAGGGGCTACATCATTTTATACCAATAATGTATGAGTGATTGATTTTCTCTGCATCCTAGCCAGTGTTTGGTGTTATCACAATGTTTTATTTTAGCCATTTTGATAGGAGTGTCATGATATTTCATTGTGGTTTTAATTTGCATTTTCCTAATGGCTAATGTTATTGAACATCTTTTCATGTGTTTAATTGCCATCTGTATATCCTCTTTGGTCTCGATTACTGTTAACTATATATAAGCTTTGAAATCAGACAAAATGATTCCTCCCACTTCATTCTTTTCCAAAATTGTTTTTAGCTATTCAAGTTCCTTTGATTTTTCATATAACTTTTTGAATAATCTTGTCTTTATTTATAAAAAATCTTGCTGGGATTTTGGTAGGAATTGGGAATCAATTTTGAGGAGAACTGACATCTTAACTATGTTGCGTCTTCCAATCCATGAATATAGTATGTGTATTAGCTTCCGAATCAGAAAAAGGGTTTATGGAACAAGGGTTTATGTCTTTTGCCCATTTTGAGAAGTTTTTGCCCATTATTTCTTGGAGAACTTTTTCAGCCCTGACCTCTTTGTCCTCTCCTTCCAGGACTCTGGTGACACCAATGCTATACCTTTTATTATTGTCCCAAGGGTCCCCGAGGCTCTACTCATTTTTTTAATCCACTGTCTAATTTCTACTGCTCTATCTTCAAGCTCACATATTCTTTCCCTCTGCCCTCCATTCTGTCACTGAGTCTCTCCACTGAGTTTTTAATGTTAATTACTGTATTTCTTGGTAATATGTTCTAAATTTTTCATATGGTTCTCCTTTATATCTTCTACTTATTTGCTGAGACTTTCTACTTCTTTGCAGCAATTTCCTATTTTTTCATTTGTTTCAAGATTGTTCATAATCACTTACTGAAATATTTTTATGATAACTGCTCTAACAATCTTTGTCACAGATAATTCCAAAATCTACTCGTCTCATCTATTGATTGTCTTATTTCATTCAGTTTGAGATCTTTCTAGCTCTCGGTGTGACAAGTAATTTTTCATTGAAGCCTGGACATCTGGGTATTAGGTTGTGAGACTCTGGGTCTTACTGAAGCCTTTGGCTTTAGCTGGCTTCCTATGACACCGCCCTAGCAGGGAAGAGGGCGTGTGCTGTCTTGTTATTGCTGGGTAGGGGCAGATGCCTAGGCTCTCTGCCTCTGTTGGCACCTGAGGGCAGGAGGGTTCCTAATTGTTGCTGGGGGGGGGGTGGGAATTTCAGCTCCTTCATAGGCCTCCACTGATACACTCTTTTTGGGAGAAGTAGGAGTGCCTTATTACTACTCCCCATGTAATCCACTGACACCAAGGACAGGGGAATAGCTTCATTAATGATGGGTCATGGGAAAAGTCCTGACTCTCCACCAGGCCTCCAATCACCCTACCTCATCAGGAAGGGGTGCTGCATTATTGCTGGATGAGGGGGCTCACAGTCCCCAACACAAACCAGGCCACTTCACATCTTCAAGGCTTGGGACATGCTATTATTTCTACTTGGAATATCTGCCTAGAAGACACAGCTCACCTCTCCCATCCTCTGAGAAGTTCCCCTGACCCCTGCTCCACCAGGTAAAGCACATCATTCACTCCTGGTGCTAGCTCTGCATTACTCCCTTGGCTTTAGCTGTTGCTTCTACCTGGTCACTTCTCAGCCTACTTGTTTGTCTCATCCTCTAGACTGGGAGCTCCCTATACTCAGCACTTAGAAATATGCCAGGCACAGTGTGGTCCTTCCACTGGATGGAAGGACCAACAATGAAGGAAATGATGAAACCAAGATGAAGAAAACAAGAAAGAAATGAAGGGAGGGAGGGTTGGAGGGATGAAGAGGAGAGAGGGAGGGAGGAAGAAGATTTATCTCCTACTAGACTGTGTCTTATTCCTCTTGGAATCTGCAGAACTTAGCACAGGAATAAAAATGTAAGAGGTAGCAGTAAGTGTTACATGAATGAGTGAATTAATGGAAAAGAAGGAGAACTGGAAGGAGAGATAAAGGGAGGGGGGGAGGAAGAATTGTGTTTATAGAGAAAGGAATTATCTCTACCTCCTTGAGAGTAGGAATTAGGTCTTTCTCATCTTTGTAGTTCAGGGCTGTTGTGAATACACAGAATCATCCCAAGAGAGCATAGCATATGGTACCCACGTTCCAGACCGAATTGCTACAACAGGAGGGGAAATTCCTTCTTCAGGTCAGACCTAGATCTGTAGCCCGATGGGACCAGCAACTAGAGGTTGCATTCCAAACTCTACCAAATCATTCCGGGAAGGGCTAGTGGCATAATTCCTCTTTCTGAGCACAGTTAAGATGCAAAAACATCCTTCAGAGACCTCCCAGTCCAACCCCTTCTTATTCTGTAAATGGGGACACTGAGACTTGGAGAGCAGGGAGAGACTTGCTGGAGTCATACAGAGAGTTGATGGCCCAGGTCTTAACCTCCAGCCCAGCAGCAGAAACAGAAGATTGTGCCAAGTCACAAGAAATTCACATCTGACTCTGGGAATCAAACAGAAGCATGCTCATCTCCCAGGTTCCCATTCCACCCAGTTGTGCACTGGTCTGGACATGGTGGTGATGGTAACTGCCTCTCTCATGGACTTAAGGAAATTGTCCCTACCCTCCAACCCAATAGATGGTGCTGAATAGATAGTCCTAAACAGCCAGACTTGTCTTGTGACCTCCAGAGCCCACCCCCAACGCAGGACCACAGGTCAGAACAAGATGGCAGCGGCCCATGACTATGACATGGAATGAAAAGTTGAGCTGGCCAACAGGAAGAATAGGAAACAACATTAGCAGCACAGGCAGAGAGGAGACAAGGCTCAAAGAGAACAGAAGAGCCACAACAGGCCAGAAAACAAATAAGCCAAGGTTGTGAGAAGGAGGAACTATATGGTGGCAGAAGCAATGACACGGAGAGAGGAAGGTAGAGAACAAGGAAACCAGTCAACAGTAACAGCCTGGAGCAGACCCACAAAGAGTAGCTGAGTCAAGGTCATGATGGAAGAACAGAACAATGATTCATGGTCTTGCTGTAGGTCCAAGTGCAAGACCAGCTAAAAAGGGCAAGCCGGCATGCAGCTGCTTCAAATAGCAGCATGGAAGCAGGCAGATCTGCAACCTTGGACACCACTGCAGATGGCGTTTTGATGCCTTGATGTGGAAGCGTAAGTGTTGTAGACTGGTCCCCCAAGGAGCTGGCAGAGGCTGCTAGTTCTCCTCCTCCTCTTCTAGCTCCTCCACCATCTCCTCTTCTCTTCCTCTCTTCCTCCCTCTGCCTCTTTCTTCCTCCTCCTCCTCCTTCTGCTCCTCTTCCTCCTCCTCATTCTGTCCTCTTGGTCATCAAGCCATTCCAGGCCCTGAGTAGCCAGTGTCAGACTAAATCCTTTACGCATATCATTGCATCTAATCCTTTCCATGATCCCAATCACATCTGCAATCATCCTGCCTCTTTTGCAGGGATGGGGGGGAGGGGGAAACTAAGGCAGAGAGAGCTTGCTATGACCAGTCAATGAAGGAACAAAGTTCCAAGCCCAGGCCTTCTGACTCCAAAATGCACACTCTAACTCTTCTGTTGGGAGAAAAAGCTAGGCTTTTTGTGAACCTGGATTGACTGAGCCAGACAGGAGAGGAGACAGAGCAATGAAAAGGAAGTCTTCAGACCAAATTGGCTCAGAAATCTATTGCACTAACCACATCATTGCCTGACAAAAAGAATCTGTGTGAAGCCAGTGAAGAGAAAGAGAGGAAAAAATAACCCAGCCCTGTGATAGATCCTGTCCACCTTCAAGTCAAAGCTGCTTTCTAAATAGAGGTTAATTTATTTCTCTTATCAAATTCTCCTGCTGGCAGACAAGCAGAGCAATGTCACAGCCACTGATCTATCTGACCTGTGTTTCTGTCCCATCTGATTGAGAGGCTCATGGTGCCTGCAAAGCCAGAGGGGAAGATCTTGAGCAACCCGCCCCCTAAGATGTCACAAAGAAAAGGATGGGTTATAGACATGCACAGTTACTTCTCAGGAGCTGTACCATTTGAGTTCCCGAAGCACCCCCAGAGGTGGGGATCCCTTCTTCTAGAGACCTATATGTATTGTTTGTAAATAAGAAAGGAGATGTGGACCCCTCCTGGCATTTGGATTGGAAGCCCAAGATTGAATCTGATAATAGTATCTAGAATTTCCTGGGCGTTTACCAGGTGCCAGGAACCATACTAAATGCTTTTATGTTGATTTCTCATTTCATCCCCAAAACAACTCTCTGAGGTTGGTGCTCTTACTAGCCACCATGGACACATTATTTTTTATTTTTTAAAGATTTGATTTATTTATTTGAGAGAGAGCAAGTGAGTATGAGCAGGGGGAAGGGCAGAGGGAGAGAGAGAGAGAGAAGGAGACTCCCCACTGAGCAGGAAGCCAGACCCAGGACCCTGAGATCATGACCTGAGCTGAAGGCAGACGCTTAACTGACTGAGCCACCCAGGCGCCCCCACCATGGACACTTTAAAACATGGCCTCAAATTCCTTGGACTCCTCCCACGGACAGGTGGGATCTATGCCTCTCCCCTTGAATCTGAGCAGGAACGTGACAGCCTCCATCAGTATGGTGTGTATATATATATATATATACCAACCCTTGGCTAGTGACAAATCAAGACAGTGCGCTGCCTTTTATAATGCTAGCTTATAAAATCCCTGGTTGGCCAAAACACTTGCTCTTTGGGCCCTCACCTGCCAGGTAGGAAACTCGCTACCCTGAAGCTACCATGAGGAAGCTCAAACCATAAGGCGAGTCCACATGTAGATGCTCTCACTGAGTCTCCGCTGAACCCTGCCTGTGATGCACCCCAGTCCAGACACCAGACAGGTGAGTGAAGAAGGCTCTAGATCAGGGGTTGGCAAACTTTTCCTTGAAATGGCCAAATGGTTTTAGGCTTTGTGAGACACGTGGTCTCTGTTAGAAGCACTCAATTCCCGATTGTAGTGTGAAAGCAGCCATAGACAATATGGGTATGGCTCATTCCAATATAACTCTATTCACAAAAATGGGTGCAGGTGCTGGGCTGGTTTGGCCTGTAAGCCATAGTTTGCCAATTTCTGTTCTAGAAGATTCCAGCCCCCAGCTGTGTGGGTTTTCCCAGGTGAGTCCCTGAACATCATGGAGCAGAGCCCAACCATCCCTACTGTACCCTGTCCTAATTCCTGACCCACAGACTCCACGAGCATCATTAAAAGGCTATGGTACACCAGTAAGTTTGAGGTGCTTTGTTGTACAGCGGTAGATAACTGGAACACACCCATTTCACATACAGGAAAACTGAGGCTGAGAAAGATTAGTGGTTTGTCCAGAGTCTCAAAGCTAATAAGTGGGGGAAGCCGAGGTCGACAGCAAGGTTCACCTGACTTCAGAGGCCAAGCTCTCAACTGCTTATATGATGCCACAAGGAGCCAGATGGTGAATGGCTGAGAGCTAGTAGTAAAAACGGTGGGTGACAGCATGCTCGAGAAAGAACATATGGGCTTTGGTGGGGAGGCATGCAAAGGGAGGTCAGAGATGGAGCAAGGGGCCAAATTACACATGGCCTTGTGGTCTGCAGTAAGGAGCCTGATTTGTTTTCTAAATGCAGTAGAAAGCCACTGGTTGGTTTTTAAGCAGAAGGGGCAGGATTCAAATTATGTTCATTAGGAATTACTCCGGCTGCTGTGTGGAGGGTGGGCTGGGGAGGGACCAATGCTCTCTCCAGCTGATGCAGAGAAGTGAGACTGAGTCTTGCCAGTGAGAGGTCACTCAGCCATCTGGATGCTCCTCTGGGTCCTGAACAAGTGGTGACTTCCCATGGGCTTGGGTTGATCTACACTTTACGCACTTTCCACATAATGCACAAAAGCACTGGGGAGCTTGAGAAATCACGTGTTGGCATGTGCAGGATGCAGCCTTTGCCTCCTACCGTAAGGCTGCAAGTCTCCCTGGGATAGTTCTGATGCAGTCCAATCAACAGGCCAAACACAGGATGTGGAAATCACACTGGAAATTTCCACACCACAGTGGAGAGAAAGATGCACAGAGAGCCTCACTGGTGACCACTATGTGAGGAGCAGCCAGAAGCCAATCAAACTGGCTGAGGCTCAGAGCCTCAGACCCCCATGTATCCATCCACCAAGTCTCCAGCAGGAGCTCAGAAATAGACACCCCCCCATCTCTTGGTGGTCTGATTCAACAGCTGTGTCAGCCCAGAACCATCTGCGAAGTTAATCCTGGCAGATGGTGGAACATCTCACAGAGCAAAAAAGGAGGGGTCTGGACCACTAAGGACCCTGCTCAGGCTCTCCTGTGCTCCCTACTGCCCCCTCCTTGACAGGCTCATTCATTCTCACTTCTGTGTGCTCTCTCTCTAAATCAGATTTCTGGCACACTGACTCTCCACTGATGGCTGGCTGCCCCCCAAGCTTTACTTGACACAAACCACACGGAAGGAGGAGAGCCCAGGTGGGCTGGGAGGTGACGGTTCTCAGAGCCATCCGTGCAAGCCCCGCCCCCACCCCTCCCTGGCAGCGGTGGGCCCCAGCATGCCCAGACCCAGCAGGACCCCAGCCTCACCTTGCTGATTTTGTTGGTTTTGGGGAGCGTCTGGCTGATGTGCAGGTCCGAATACCGGGGTGGCTTTCGTAGAGGGTTGTTGATGTCACACGGGACGGACTCTGTTCGGACTAACCTTGCTGGATCCGTAGGGGTAAAAACAGCAATTTGGGAATTTAAGTACCACTTTGGTTTTATACGGCTAGGCCAGGAAAGCAGAGCTCAGACCCCACCCCGAAGGCCCGCCCCCCAGGAGCAAGAGGGAATTCTCCAAAAATGATAGTCCTCTGTCATGGTAGTAAGATCAGGTGTTCTCTGGTTTCTGAAATTTTTATAGTGTCAATGAATAACTTGTCAATTAGAAATTTTAATAATAAAACTGAAGCTATCAGGTTGTTTTCAATACCATAATTGTTTCACACTGGGGTTCATTTCAGACTCGACCCTCCTTTGAAATACAAGAGGTTCCTGATTCGTTATGGTCTGCAATCAATGGACAAGCTCAGAATGGTCATCTGTCCCTGCCCCCATCTAACTTTTGTGTTGGGATCCTCCTTTGCTACTTGTGGGATTTCTCATGCCTGAGGAGCCTGTTGCATGTCAAAACACATGTGTCTTAAATAAGGCCACCGGGACCCCGGAAAGGAAGGCTTAGTATGTCCAGACCTCTCCTCAATATCATCCCTGAAGGCATACAAAAAGCTGGGCTCATAGCTAACGCTAAATAAATGCTTGCTGATCCAAACCACACTATCCAAGCTCCTCTTCCAGTTACCCCTCTGTTATTACTACTACTTATAGGGACCATGGGGAGGGGCAAATTGAGAAGCTCAAATTCAAATTTGATGCTTGGCAGAGTTACTTGTTAGCTGTTTTTATTGCACAGGGTGTGGGGCATTGGTGGAAAAGTTAAAGCTTTGCACTGACCCAGGGATTTAATTTCTCTGCTTAGCCTGAGCTGCCATCTCCATGGAAACCAACTATATTTTAAACTTCCTATCAACAAGGGTGGGGAGGTGGCGAGGGGGAAGCAAGAAGCTGGCGGACTTCTGGAAAGATCCATTGCTTTCGAATGTACAGGCACCTGCTGCCTTTGAGCTTTGAGCGAAGGGGGCATGGCTATGAAGGTGGGTGGGGGAGGGAGCCCTTCTTCAGATGTCAGCCTCCGAAAGCCGGTCGCCATACAGCAGGCTGGTTCTGGTCTCCACATGGGAGTTGGGCTCCAGCAGAGTCCACTACGGAGAGGAATTTCTCCAGTGACACTGACCCAAGACAAGGGCTCAAGAGCTGTGAGAATTCAGGTTTAAAAATAGCCTCCTTGAGTGTATACAGTTGTGCAAGGAACAGATGGTTCTTAATTAAGGATGTGGGTGGGAAGAGGCTAAAGGGCTGAAGACTTCCTTTACTTGCAATTTCCTCTCCTCGTGGAGGTAAGCAGTGCAAAGATCATCAAAAACCAACACCCCTGGGCTTTGGAACACATCCCAGGATTTTGGCTGCACATTGCTTCCTTCTTTACATTTCCCTTGAGTTCATTCTAAAACTGGGCAGATTCCCCAGATCCTACACTGACTAAGGCCAGGGGAGCTGGGCAGGACACAGCAGGGACCAGGAGGGACTCTGTCCCAGATCAGCAGGTTGTATACTGCGACGTTGCCTCCAAGGCTCCATCCAACCTATAGATGGAGGGTGACAGGGAATTGGCCAGCAAGAATTTTAAAACTTAGTAAGTTGCTAGCATCTTAATACAACTTTTCTTTGAACCGCAAGAAAAACGCAGAGCAGGTCCACATTGCCTCCATCACTGGTGGGGCGGCTGTCCTCTCTAGACAGTGCCTGGGCCCCCTCTCCACTTCGCATAGCTTCATATGACCTTCTCTCATTTCGGATCCTTGCTTGGCCCTAGTGGCACCTGAGATGGCAACTTCTACTCTAGAAACTTGCTTCTTAACTTGAACGGGCAGAGGAACGGCCCACAGATGCTGTGAAAGATGCAGATTCTGCTTCAGTAGGTCTAGGGTGGGGCCAGAAACTGTGCATGTCGAATGCCACCGCTCCCAGGGGATTCCATTGTTGCCAGTCCACGGACTGCACTTTGAATAGCAAAGGTAGGGACCAGTGATACCCAAGAGAACTTTCAGCCATGAGGAAAGTGTTGGTTATCTGCAGTATCCAGTGTGGTAGGCACCCGTGGCTACTGAGCCCTTGAAATGTGGCTGGTGTGGCAGAGTAATTGAATTTTTACTTTTATTTCATTTAAGCTAATCTAAATTTAAATAGTCAGATGTGGTTAGCAACTGCTGTATTGAAGAACACAGACCTAGAGGGTCCCCCGGTGAATGAATTGCAGAACAGGTAATAGAAGTCAGCGATAACTACACCATGAGACAAGAGTCAGGGGAACTATTTTGAAAGCTAGCCTGCAAGGTTTTCCAAGGAGATTCTTCCTATTGAGTCCTTGGCAGGCAAGACAAAGGCTTTCTTTCCAGTCTTTCCTTTGCACTCAATTGGTCTTGCTTTTTTTTTTTCTCTCTCCCCAAGGTAAAAGGCTGGCAGTGGCTCTCCCAAGAGTAGCTGGCTTGGACAGTTTGGCCCAGACACTCCCAGGGCCCCAGGGGACAGAACACAGATGGCCCATACCCAGAAACCCAAGCCCGACCCCTCCCCACACCCACCTCTGCAGGGCCAAATGATTGAGTCTAAAGAGCACATCATGGGGAACACTCAAACCAGCACTCTTTCTAAGTGTGAAGGAAAAGCAATGAGATTGGGGGAAAAGAGAGGAGAGTGGAAATTAGGAGAGCAGACAAGAATGAGAGAAAAAGACTTAGGAAGGGGGAGACAAATCTGGGGGCTAAAGTATCAGAGAGACCAGCAGAGGGGCAAGGAAGAGGGAGAACAGGCACTGGAGATGGATGAAGGAGACAGATGTCAGGAAGAAGAGTGTCAGAGGGGAAAAAAATAGGCAAGTATCAGGGGATTAAGAGGTACCCAGAAATGGCCTGGATGGGACAGCTATCTCCAAGGATCTGCAGGAGCCCCCACCCCAGCCTACCCCTAGGGTAGCAAGTGTTAAATACTTACCTCCTCGGTGGATGATCAGGAGATGACAGGGAGGGGCTTCTTTGGTGCATTTGTTGTGGCACTTTAATCTGAGAGAGAAAGAGAGAGAAGGATGGAGAGATGGGTGGGTGGATGGATGGATGGATGGATGGGGAGGGATGAGTGGATGGATGAGTGGATAGATGAGTGGAGGGATGGATGGATGGATGGATGGATTGAAGGGATGCCCTGGTGGTTTAGAAAGCTCTGGAAGCTGTGGATACCAAAATATGAGATGAGACGGGGCAGCTAAAGTATTTCCTTGACACCTAGGAAATTAACTCTGGAGAAAGTCTGTTGTCATTTCACTCTCCAAGGCCAGACCTGGGTGGTCCAGGTTGGGTAGCAACTCCTTCACCAACTGTGTCCACTTAGACTTTATGCTCTGAAAGATATTTTTGAAAAAAAAAGAAAGATATTTTTGCCCTTCAGTCTCTATTTTTTTCTTTTTTGTTTTAGAGAGAGTGAGAGTGTGCGAGAGTGAGGGGATAGGGGAGGGGCAGAGAGAGAGGGAGAGAGAGAGAGAGAATCTTAAGCAGGCTCTGAGCCCAACACAGGGCTTGATCTCATGACCCTGAGATCATGATCTGAGCCAAAATCAAGAGTTGGACACTTAACTGACTGAGCCACAGTCTGTATTTTTTATCTTCTTCATCATCATCATCATCATCATCACCCAATCCTAATAACCATCCACTGTTTACTTGTAGACTCATCTGCCAGCCATTGTACTAAACATAATACAAATGTTATGTTATTGGATATTTATAACAGCCTTACACAACGGATATTATTATCATTCCCATTTTACAGATAGAAAAACAAATTAACTGAGCTTTCCTGGCAGAAAACTTGGATCGGTGGTGCCAAAGGCAGCCTCTCATTTTTCTCAAAGGCTTAAGCAACAGGAGACAGCTAAGCAAGGCTTCCATTTAGGATGAGATTGGTGACGGGTATTCAGTTTTAGAGGTATGAAGAGTTTACAGTCAAAATGTTCTCCTTTGAGACAATGTCACCTTGCTCTTCCCCAAAGAGTTGCCAGGCTTCCAAAGGATTAAAAAAAAAAAAAAAAAACCCAACTAATTGTGACCCGGCTTTGTCTTTTTCCTTTAGAGTTTATGTCAGTCGGAAGAATACACACTGTGGCAGATGCTATTGGTGCCCTGTGCGCATCCCTTTGGGTTCCCTTATCATTTTTGTGCAAGCCAGCTTCACTTCCAACAGCTGACATTCTTGCCAGAAGGCACCCATAGCCTGCTTAGAGGTTTCATATTAAAAAACTCTATACCGAGAGGTGGGAGCTTTAGATTTGCCCTCAATCTTCTTGCCCTCCAGGGATTTGATAGTTCTCTCTAACAATGATTTGAATGTCCAGTCATAGACTCAACTTTGACTCCCCCCATTAGTCTCGCTCAGTGGTTCTCAAAGTGCAGTCCCAGGACCGGCAGCATCAGCACCAGTGGGCTTGGAACTTTTCAGGAATGCATCTTCTGGGCCCCCGCACCCCAGATCTGATGAAGCTGAGACTCAGAGCTGAAATGCAGTAACCTGTTTTAACAAGCCCTCTACCCGAGTCTGATACGTGCTCAGGTGTGAGAACCACCGGTCTCGTTGATTGTTTTGGAATGTCTACGCACGTTTCCCCAATTTTTCTTGTCTTCAGTCTCGCAGCCCTGGTAGGGCACTGGATTCCTCTCTGAGATGGAAAAGTTAGACCTGGGGCCCCTTGGAGTGCAGAGGGGAAGCAAGGAGGGATGCAAGAAACAGTGCCGAATCACGCCGCAAGAACATCATTAGCCTGTCTCCAATTCGCCTTCACTTTGCATCCGGGAGAAGGTTTCTGGAGCTAACATGTCTTTTTTTTTTTTTTTTAAAGATTTTATTTATTTATTCATGAGAGAGAGAGAGAGAGAGGCAGAGGGAGAAGCAGGCTCCCAAGGAGCAGGAAGCCCGATGCGGGACTCGATCCCAGGACCCTGAGATCATGACCTGAGCCGAAGGCAGACGCTTAACCATCTGAGCCACCCAGGCGCCCTGGAGCTAACATGTCTTTACATTTCTTTACCACATGCTAACCGCAGTCCCAGATTTGGAAAGGGGACACTATTGACAGGCAATTTAATAAATGTATTTTTCCATCTGAGTATCTTTTTTTTTTTTTTTCCTGTTGCCTCATATTAATGGAAGTGAGGCTGATTTTCCACTCATGGTGACAGGATACACTTTCATCTTTAAAGCCATAAGGAGTAAATAAATAAAAGTATGGCTGCCACACAAATATGAGCAAATCATGACAGGGTGGTGAGCGAGTGACTGAATTAGACAGGGACAAGCTGGCTTACATAATTTGGAATTGTCAGAAAGAAGTGGCAGTTCTAGGCATCGAGAGTCTAAGTCTCACTGGTTGAAAAACAGTAAGAGGTACTACCGGTCACGAATGTCACAAAGACACTGTGACTCAGAGGAGAACAAGAGCTTTCACTTACACAGTGCTTGTGAAGTACCAGGCAATGCCCCCCCGGGGCTTTACACAATTTATATAATCCTTGTAACAACACTAAACAGTAACAACTATTGTTATCCCCATTTTACGGAGTGAAAAACTGAGACTCGGCAAATTCGGATAACTTGCCGAAGGTCAAATAGCCAGTAAGAGACAGAGGCCCCAAGCCCAGCTCTAACCAGTGTGCAGATGCCTCCAAAACCTCCACTCTTCTTCCTTTACATCTTGGGGGTGGCAGTGAATGAACGGGAAGCTTCCTGGGATCTGTAACCAGCAAAATCAAAAGGTCCTTCTTTGAGATAAGCCTAAGATGTCACCTGGCTCTTCCCCCTACAGCTGCTGGACTTCAGAGGATAATAAAAATCCCACCTTACCACAAATGTGTCTTTTTCCTTTTTTTAAAAAGATTTTATTTATTTGAGAGAGGGAGAGAGAGAAGAGAGCACAAACAGGGGGAGGGGGAGAGAGAGGGGGAGAAGCAGACTCCCCATTGAGCAGGGAGCCTGATGCAGGGGCTCGATCCCAGGACCCTGGGATCATGATCTGAGCCGAAGGCAGACGCTTAACCGATTGAGTCACCCAGGCACCCCTGTCTTTTTCTTTTCTAAAGCCCACAGACTCTCTGACCTACAGGGAAGGTCCCAGCCCCCATGGAGGTCATGGATATTGCATCCAAACCCCAATGGGAAGTTCTGATGAATATACAACTAGTCTCTCAATCATTCTGCAAAACACTTAACTGGGCTCCGGGACAGGGCAGGTGAAGCCGCTATGTTTATGGGCAGGGATAAAACACACGTAAACAGAGGACAGATCATTGCAGGTGTGGCGAGAAGGAGAAAAAAAATCACACGGGGAAATGGGATGGAGAGTATGGGAGTGGGAGGGGAAGAGCTTCAAGCCAGAGCAGAAATGTGGGGGCAGGAACAAGCTTGGTGGGTCAGGCGTCAGAGGTTAAAGGCTGACGAGGCTGAGGTAAAGAGAACAAAGTGATAAAGACACGAGGAAGGGGAGGAAGGCGCGGACAGGGCCCCGGCAACGGGGGCAAGGAGTCTGTATTTGATTGTGGAGGCACCGGGAGGCCACGGGAGGCTCGGGACAGCTGTGACAGGTCAGACTGATGCTTGGGAAGCCCTGAGTTGGGGAATCTGCTGATGCCAAATGAGAATGGAACCAAGAAGTGTGTGCACTCATTGCTGTTTGAAACAGCTTGGTTCTACCCTGGAAGCTTCCAGAAAGAAATTTTTCCTTTCTGCCTCTCCCGCCTACGAGTCTTCTCTAACAAGCCCAGCTGGAAGGGGGACGTGCAGATGTGAAGAAGCCTGTTCGCCCTCATGGGCAGCACTCTGATTCGGGGGCAAGTAGTTTCTCGAAACCTCTGGACCCCACCCGAACCAGGAGGGGGCAGGCAAAGCCTCCCGGGACCTTGGTCATCTCCTGCCTCCCCCTGGTGTTTTCCTCTCCAGGATCCCTTGTTGCCTGTCTTCTGCAGTTGTGGAAAAGCCTTCCTTCATCTCTGGCCAAAGGGTGGGAGATGGAACGCTTGCCCTTCCAGGAAGCATTTCAAAGGGCAGCCCTGGGGATGGGGCCACAGCCACTGCTCATGCAGAAAAGCCCAGAGAACCGTCTTTCATGCTAAGACACTTAACCCTTTGCATGGAGGCTCGTACGTCAAGAACTAGCACCACATGTCCAGGATCTGCTAATTGAGTTGGCAGGATTAGCCTAGCGCTGAAATCACACAGACCCTGGAGGGGCGGGGAAGAGGGATCGAGATGAGGGTTTCGCACAAGGCAGACACACCATGCCCCACTTACAAAGAATCATTTTTCCAGCAGGAAACACACAGGATTCCATTCAAATTAGACTTTTCCTTTCACTGCCCACAGAAGAGCAAACTAGGGCCACACGCTGGAAAGATCGACCACCTGCTTCCGAATCTGATCCCACCCCCCGCCGCCCCCCGCTGGCTTCCCTCCTCCACCCCGAGGTTCTGATTTGGTCTGTGCTGGGAATGTGGGTTTTTGGCAAGTGCATGCCGGCACTCCAGAACCACCCTAGGAGGAGGACATATTCTACTTCCCAAATGAGAGATGTCTAGAAGCTTAGATCTTCCAGAATTCCAGCATTCTCCCCTCCCCCCCAAAAGAGAAATGGGGTCAGGAGCGTGTGGAGAAAGAATCTGGGTTCAAAGCCTGACACCACCTCTTCCTGGCCATGACAACCTGGGGAAGTCGCTGACCCACTCTGAGCTACAGTTTCTTCATCTGTAAAATGGGGGCAAAGACAGTACCTGTATTTTATAGAGAAACAGAGTATCTGTCGTTGCATTGTTGCAGAGAAAACTAATCACGTGAGGTGAACAGGGTGCCTAGGACAATCACTTGAAATAGCAGCTACTTTCATTTTTATTAGGGTAGGTTGTTATTGTTGCGAGTTTGTACAGTAGCTTTCCCCTCAAGCCCCTAAGACCCTTCCTCTTGCTGAATTGTGGGCTGGCTGCCATGCCTGGTGCTTTGAAACACCCATGGGTGGGAGCTGGCTGGG